ATTAAACTCCTAAAAAATAATGTAGAAGAAAATCTAGGTGACCTTTGGTTTGGTGATGACTTTTTGGAAAAAACACTGAAAGCATGTTCCATAAAGGAGAATATAAGTTGGCCTTAATTAAAATTAAAAACTTCTGCCCCTCAAAAGACACAGTGAAGAGAAGTAAAAGATAAGCCATGGAATTACGTAAAACATTTACAAAACACATATCTCATAAAGGATTGGTATTCAAAATATACAAAGACCACTTAAAACTTAACAATAAGGAAACAGTCCAAATTAAAAATGGGCAAATCATATGAAAAGATAACTCAGCAAAAATAATACTCATATGACAAATAAGCATATGAAGAGACGTTCAACATCTTATGTCATTAAGGAATGGGAATTGAAGCAATGGTGAGGTGCCACTTCACACACACTTAAATGGCTAAAATCCAAAACATTCACAACAATAAATGCTGTTGAAACTTTGAAGTAAAAGGAACACTTATCCATTGTTGATGGTATTGCAAAATGGCACAGACACGTTGAAAGACAGGATGCCAGTTTCTTACAAAACTAAACATAAGATCCAGCAATTGTATTTCTCAGTATTTAGCTGAACAAGTTGAAAAATTATATCCATACAAAAATCTGCACATGAATGTTTATAGCAGCTTTACTTATAATTGCCAAAACTTGGAAGCAACCAAGATGTTCTTCAACAGGTACCTGGATAACAAACTATGATACACTCATACAATGTGCAATTAATTTCCGTGATCATCTGCAAAATCCCCAATGATATCTTCTCAACTTGTTCATCTGTAAAAACACTCCAAATAAGTTAACATTCACAGGCAATTAGGACTTAACCATTTTTGCACAAGATACAGTCAACTCATAACAAAGTGGCGTATTATTCAGCAACAAAAGTAATGAGATATCAAGTCCCTAAAAGACATGGAAGAAGCTTAAATGTGTACTGCTGAATAAAAGAAGCTAATCTGAAAAAACTGTATACTGTTTGAATCCAACTATATGAAATTCTCTAACAGGCAAAACTAGGAAGACAGTAAAAATATCAGTGGTTGCCATGGAAGGGAGGAGGAATGAATAGGTGGAACATAGGGGAAGTTTAGAGCAGTGAAACTATTCTGTATGACACTTCACTGGTAGGTACATGTCATTAAACTTTTACCAAAACCTGTAGAATCTACAACACAAAGAGTGAACATTAATGTAAAGTATGAACTTTAGTTAATAGTATTATATCAGTATGGCTCTTCAACTGTAGCAAATATACCACACTACATGCAAGATGTTAATACGAGGAGAAACTGTGTGTTGCGGGGTGATAAGGGAGTATATGGGATCTCTTGTTACTTTCTGCCCAATTCTTTTGTAGACCTATAACTGCCTCAATAACAAAGTCTTTCAATGTACTTAACAAACAAAAAGAGGTTCCAGATTGTAGGTAGCTCAATCAGCATCAGTGGTTGGGAGAAAGACCATCTCTGAAGAGACAACCTTTAAATCTGAACTGAAGCAGAAGAAGATGTTTCCCTTGTGAGGTGCAGATAAGAGCATTCTCAGTAGAAGGAATGGCTAAAACAGAGTCTGCCGTGGAAACAAGCTACACGTGTGTGAGGAACACTGAGGAGCAGAGGAAGCAGAGAATGCAGGCAGTGACTACCTCGAGCAAGACTTTTTAACAGTGAACAATTTGGACTTTATGCTGAGTGTGAATATGAAATCAATAGATGGTTTAATAGAAAAAAACCATTAGGATATAATCTGTTTTTAAAATATCATTCTGGCTTTTGGATATAGAGAATAAATTGTATATGGAGGCAACATTGGAGGCAGGGAGATTGGTGAGGAGGATGTTGCAATGGTTCAAGCAATAGGTAATAATGTTTGGACTAAAGTGAGGCAGTCAATATGGAGATATGGGGTATATTTGAGATGTGTCGATAAAGGTAATGGAAGAGAGAACTTCTTACTGTGTCAATCATCTATGACGGCGCAGCTGTGTATCTGGAAATACTCCTACATGGAAATGTCAATTTGGTTACAGGTTGAAATCCATGCCCTTTGCCATTCACATTCCTTCCATGAAATGAAAACTCATCAGACCAAACATAGTTTAAATAAATAGACCTTGTAAAATTGCGCATGATATTTGCTTTTCATGTTTGTTGTAATAGAACTTGACTTGTATCTAAAACTCACTTAGCACACACATATTTTAAAGCATTTTAATTTCCTTTCACTTCCTCTGAAAACTTTTAATTACTAAAGTTGGAAAGAAAATATCTCCTTTAGTAAAGAGAAAAGTTAATACAACTGAGCAACTTGACACCCATATCAACTATGTAAATAAACATACACATTTCTTTGTTACCTAGATTCGGCAAACTACAATGAAAATATAGGCCAGCAATGATGGGAAGTTATTGAACATGATGACACCATACTGATAGATACAATCACAATCTGGCAAGGAAAAGAAAGGAGCTATTTTCTGTTTGGTTTTAAAAATATTCTTAAAACTGGCCAAATGTAACATCTGTGCCAAATTTTCCCTCAATTTTAAGATGAATGACAAAAAAAATAGAAAGCAAGGAACAACCATAACTGATCTAAAAATGGCAAATTAACGAAGTCTGTATTATTCATTTTTAAAAAAGAAAGACTTCAACAATTTAACATTTTAAAATAAATTTAGCAAAATTATAATAGTCTTTGAAATATTCATATATAAAAGGATTACTTTCTTCCCTTTGTGAAAAATTCAAATATACATAGGATAATGAATAAGAATGTCAGTATAGCTAAGACATACTTTGAAGAAATTATAATACAATAGTAAAGTAATTTGAATTTTATACTTTTGATTACTCATATCTTTCTTTTCATTATAGAAAACTATATCCAATTCTTAAAAATAATTAAGCAGCAGACTGGATGTGGTGGCTCACACCTGAATCCCAGCACTATGGGAGGCTGAGGCTGGAAGGAAAATCACTTAAGGCCAGGAATTTGAGACAAATCTGGGCAACATGGTGACACTCCATTTCTATTTCTTCTTCTTCTTCTTCTCCTTCTCCTTCTCCTTCTCCTCCTCCTCCTCCTCCTCCTCCTCCTCCTCCTCCTCCTCC